ATTTGTTTAAGCAATAACAAAGACGAAACAATGAAATATTTATCATTTAATAAGTATACCTAAATAAATAATTGGCACTCACATTTTTACAAGGTATTTATGTAGCTGAGCTTCCGCAATTGTTGAGACGATTCTCATTCATCGGATCAACATGGAAGAAATATCGTTTTGCGAAAAATAATATCCTATTAAATGCATTGGGAAGTAGATACTTTGCTGCGACTAATTACTTTCGTATAATCAACTGAATGTGTTTCGTAATTAAAATCGTAATACAAATTATTGAGCAAACGAGGGGATACATGGCGTATAAGTAACATTATTTTCTGCTCGTCAGGAAAACAAGTCAGCTAAATATATTTCTCTCAACTCATGATTTAGTTATAGTTACATTATTTGGTTATAGTTACCAAATAATGTGTTGCGAGAAATATTTTTAGCTGACTTTTTTCTGGGTGTGACCCGCTTCACAAATTTTTACTCACACATAAGCAACCAGTTCTAAATCAAAGCTTATTTTCATTTATTTTTTTTTTTTTTCAATTAGGAATTTCTGAAATCCCATAAATATATTCGTAGTAAGCTTAAATTTACAGTAGTGTCTATCATGCTGATTATGCACACTTTTTGTTGACTAAGAAACTAAATCGGTTACGCACAAAAAAAAAAACAACCTACAAAAAATTTACTCACTCGCACATACAAAATAAGAGAAAGAAGACTTCCTTCTTCTGCTCGACAACTCATTAAGGCAGCTCACGCACTTCACGCGTGAATTGTTTGGCTTTCTCGCTTTTCACCAAAGCATTTGTATGCAAGAATGAAAATAAACAAACAAAACAAAAATGCAAGGTCAGCTTACGCAACGAAGAACTTTAGACTGGAAAAGGATAATAATGATGACTATGCCACTGATTAGTATGACAAAAGCGAAGCGTAAACGGAAGGATATACAAAATAAAAAGAAATACGCGTACAAAGTGAGAATCCTAAAAATTAAGAACGCCAGTTAAATGAGAAGGACGAGTAAGTAAGGCAAATACAACCGCTGACTTCAAACAAAGTGTCGATGATTTTTCAATTCGCCACCAAAATTTACAGCCTCCTCATTTATTCACCGGCACACCCTACGAACTTTCAATGCTAACCCTGCAGTAAAAACAGTCTATTCAAGCGCTAGCTCCACCCTACAAGTTTCATAACTATCTCTGAACTAGTGCAAAACGGCTGCAGAGAGGGACAATTGAAACTTTCGGTGTGCTAGTTGCGCTCTAATCAAAGTTTCTCAAAACAAAAAACTTTCAAAACACACTAAACAATCGTTATACTCACGAAACTATGGGTCATATAGAGTAAAACTGCATTTGTAGTTTTTCACTCTGACGTCTGCATTTTTCTTCAAAGCACTTGGAAATTTTAAAGATATCATTACTTCAAAAAGTTATTAAAAAAAAAAAAAATCATTGCAATGTAGAATAACAATATGGATACCAAATGAGAGACAAAATTCCTAAAAATTTAAGAACAATAAATTTTTTTGGTTTAAAAGGGCGAATAGGTTTTGAAAATGCGCTTTTAATAAATTTTACCTTTTTGAATTACTAAAGTTCGCAGGACGAAATTCGATGATTAAGTCATGCGTATATTAGTCCTCAAACAATAATTTTGTCAAAAAAAAAAAATACAAATAGTTTCAAGGATATTTAAGGACAAGATTTTTAAAGGAAATTTTCCGAACCCGTTCATCCTTATGCACCAAAAAATGTATAATTCTATAGAATTTTTTATTTTACTTGATACCCTTATTGTTATCCTACGTTACACTGAATTTTCTCAATCATTTTTTGAAATAATCATATTTTCAAAATTTCAAAGTCCTTTTAAAAAAATCCTGACGTCAGAGAGAAAAACTAGATGCGCAGTTTTACTGTAATTTACCCATGGTTTCGCGAATATATTGATTTTTTTTCTGTGTAAAATTTACTGTCGCACGGTGTTATATGAAAATGAATATGAAAAAGGTGAACAAAATTACTGAATAAATTAAGATGAAATGGTAAAAGAAGTATCACTTTTATCGAACCACCATTTTTTAGTCGATAAGTAATTTGTCGGAAAACTCATTCCCACACCGTTCTCACATTTACTGCGAAATGTCAAAGGTTCGAAGAAATGTCAAGCGCAAAAAGTTTGATGTGGAGCTGCTCGCCTGAAAAGCCTGTGAAGCCGGACGGACTTTGAAAGCCGGTGCGACTTCGAAGCCCTGTGCGAGCTTCAGCTTAACATCGTTGGTCACGAGTACGAATCGCGGTGGAGACAGTTTTGATGTTTAGATTTAATTAACTTAAATTGTTAAGTGCCGCTTAAATATTGAAGAGAAAATTATCAAATTTATTATAAAAATAAAATAAAAAAATAAATTAAAATTTAATTAAATACAATTTGTAAAAGAACAAAAAGAAACGAAAAAATATAAAAAAAATGAATAATAAAAGTTTTTTCACAAAAAACTTATTTTCGCAGATCTGTCCAAAAGGGGAACCAGTTTAAAACTATGTAGTTCAAAATTTCTGCAGAAGGGGGCAATTTCCAACTTCGTAGGGCGTCGCCATGTAAAAATAGCCAGTTGAAAGCATTGCGTTGGCATATATCGAGAACCAGTACCGCCTCTTAATGAGGCAGTTCTGCGCTAACGCGATTTACTACAGGCCAATACACTCACATACATACATATGTACAATGTACATGCTGACAATGCATATTTGATATTTTTTGAATGCGACATTTAGCATGCTGCATATCCTATTTAAGATTCAAAGCATGCGTCGATATGCCATTCTGTACGTGCCATTCCGGTTGGTTGCAATATTCAATTCCTTTGAATTGCTACGCTAAATTGAGAGAACGAAACAACATACATACATAAATAAATATAAATTTCAAAGGTAGGTATGTAATTATATATACATGCATACATGTATGTATGTACATATATAAATAAGCGAAAAACGGCGAAAGGTGTGAAATGCACCATTCAATATCGAAGAACCAAAATATTTGGTATCGCAAAGCGTTTGTGCTATGTGTGCTACCGATGTTGTTAAAATAAAGTGTGCTCTCATTTCGCCATTTATATGGAAGTATATACATACATATCGCACGTTTAATAATAAAACGAAGTATTTCAAAATTTCAATTTTATGGGTAAACGCAATCAAAGTTTTACCAATTCATATAGTTGGTATAAAAAAAGACAGATAAAAAGACACATATCTTCGCCATATTTGGGAAGTTTAACCATCTGTTAGGCTGAATGTATTCTACTTATCAAGCTTATGAATTGCATGATGTAATCTCCAAAACCGTACATTTTGAGTTACATCTCTATATTATTAAACGTGCGACATATATAAATATTCGCATATGTATGTATGTATTTGAAATCAGTCTAAATATTTTGCCCGTGCTTTTCTTTTTAACAATGAAAGACAAATCGATAAAGGCTGCAGTTGGGCGGAAATTACAGCAGCACCAACTGGAGCGGAAATGGGACTCTTTTTATTTTTATCAACGCATATATATGTAGTGATATACACACCACTTGTGTCGCGAAAGGTATGAATAAAAAATGGAGTAAGTGTTCATTTTAATAAATAAAAAGTGCTCTAGGGTTTCCCGTAAGGCTTTCTGCATGCTTCAACATTCATACTACTACTGAAGGTCGGCATCATTTTTAGGAGGTAGTCACGATAACGATTACGATTACAGCAACTATGACGATACCGATTAAGATAACAATTACGACTATAATCTTGATTGTAATTATGATTTTGATTATAATTATAGTTGTGATTATAATTATGATTATGATTGTGTTGCTGACTATGACGATGACTGCGGTTATGATTGTGATTGTGATTATTAATATGATTATGGTATTTATTATGAATATAGTTGTGATTGATTAAGTTTTTCATTATGACTATAATTATGACTAAGAGCGCAACTACATACAATTCAAATTACGATAACATGTAATTTTACCTTGAAGATTCTTCTTTTACACTGCTTATGGGTTTATCCGTTTATCGCTTAGGCGTTAAATGTGGACAAATTAGAGAGGTTCAGCCGCCATGTGAAAGAGTTAAATTTATTTCGAGAGGATTTTGTCTTCACAAAAACTTATGCTCTAGCTATCCCTAGATAGCTATGCTTATGCTCTACAAAATCCCAATGTCTTGTCAAGGCAGATTTTTGAACTAGGAGAATAAACTTCGTTCAGTCGTTGTTCACCCACACTAATGCGCTACGGCCACTTTGATAATACCTTTTTTATTTACTCATTTATCTGTTTATTGATTTGCCTTTACAGCCTATCTTTTTTGGCTCAAGATCACTTCGCTCGTGAACGTTTGAATTGAGTTTTTATTTACATGTATGTACTTAATATTAAACACCTCCAACTCCCCGTTTTATTTGCTCTGAATTCTGTCTAGCTTTACATGAATATACTGGTTCTTTACGGCTATCCACCACTTAAATATGTATGTAGTATTGCTGTGTTGGTGGCAGGCCATAGAATTAGAAAGATCACTACACTTTGGGAAGTGTCCTTACTAACGCTCCTCTTAAGTGGGTGGCTTCCCAGTTCAGCTGAAATCATTCTGCTGCAAATAAGCGCCATTGGGCATGAATTTATAGACTCCTTAATGCCAATTGTCTATCAAATCCATGTCGAGAAGGACTGGCAGATTATACTGCTTAAATTTAAGTAACCTCTCAACATTTCTAACGACTTCAAGAAGCGCCGCAGCAGTGGATCGTCCTCGTCAATATTCATACTGTGCCTAAAACATACACTCGCCGTGAAATATCCCCGGATTATGCATATACCATATATTGTACATACATTTAATTAATTTAACATAAAAAACATATTTTTAATTTAGCGCAGATTTTAAATTTTCAATACAAAAAATTTATTTTCTCTTTCTTTTTAGGAACCCTTGAACACAATATACTACATATACCGCTAAATAAATTCTACAGGAAAAGGTAAATATAGAAAATGTTACTAATACTCGTAACTTGTATTACAAACCAACTAAGCAAATTTATTAGGTGCTGCGAAAGTAGTAGTAATTTTTTCAATCAATATTCATACCTTTCCCGCTATGATCGGCTATTAAACGGACCAATATATATAGCAAACAAAAATCAATTAAGTAAAAAATTTAACCAATTATAAAAAAATTTTAATATTTTTGAAGAGGGCTGCCGCCTGTTCAAAAAATGTAACTCTATTTAATTAGGTTAAGCGAAAAGTTTGAGGTGCAGCTGCAACATTTGAAAGAATAAAATTAAACGGTATATAAAGCGGGCGGGCCGCAGTCAAAAGCTGGCAATTAGATTTAAAAAAAAAATAGTCAAACGCAAACAAGCCGCAGAAGACCGCATTAAAGTTATTTAACCCTTTATGTACTGCAGGCCTAAAATTAAAAACATACACAACCAATTGCAAACCTCTTGCTCCTTTGGAATGTAAAAATATAATAATATTTCCTAAAATATAATAAGGACGAAACTATTTTTTACATGCTAAGTTTTTCACAATTTTTTTATAAACATTTTTGTAATATTTGGGTTTTTGTAAAAGTATATTTCCTATGAAAAACTTTTTAAAAATTTTTCTTAGAAAAAAATTTATTCTCAATACTTTTCTCTAAACATTGCTTGATTTTCTAAAAAATATGTTTTCTAAAAATTTATATTTTTCAATGTATTTTATTCATAAAAGTGTATTATTAAATATAAAAAATATTTTTCTTAAAATTTTTTTATTCTAGTGTTGGGAAAAGTATTTATATCTAAAATTGTATGATAAAAGTGGCTAAAAAAGACAAAACAGAAAAATTTACGCATTTTTCTATGGGAAGCATGTATCCCTTCGTCCTGAAAGCAACAGAACCAAGAAAATCACCATAAATTTGGTCGGTAACATATTTATGTAAACATATAGTCAATGGAAGATATTAGAATAGACCACTTGCTTACGTATTTTTTAGCTTGAATTTATTTGTTACCTAATCAATTTATAAAGCTAACAAAACAAAAAAACGAATGGAAAATAATATCCTCAATTATTGATTATTCCTACAGGGAACAGATGAAAAATGGAATTCATAGACATTTTTTGTTCAGCAACTGTAATTGACTATGCATGTATTGACTACAACAGCTTTCCCCCAGAGATTATCGCAGTATTTGACAGCATTCATGTAAAGCAGAAATTTTACTTTGGCTTATAAAATTGATGTGACACAGCTACAGCAGATTTAACTACATACATATATATGTTTGTGCATCAAAGTTCACTTTTTAACTTTTGGAGACCTGAACGCGTCAAAGCAAAACTTGGCTTATAAATAAATATTGTATTACGTATTAGTTTATATAAGTAACTTGGCTTCACAAAAAGTCCACCGGCAGTTAAACAACAGCAAATTCTTCAAAGCATTGAATTAGACCAGCAAAAACTTTTTAACATAATTTTCATACACAAAGAATGGCAAAAGTTTGCGCGTCATAAAATATACTATTCGTACTAACACATTTTTTTCAAGGTACACGCGCATATGTATGTGTGAGTACTTGCATACATGTATGTATGTATTTAATAGCAAAGTTATTTCATAAAAGTGTCGTTGTGCTTTATTGCTTCTATTGCTTTCTTGCTTAAATTTATTCATGAATGCTCATTCTTTTTATTACATTTCGTCGTTACCCCTTATTTTGTGCTTTTCACTTTTGTGAATTTACCTTTTTTCACGTATTTTATCGCAACATTTTTCGTTACTAACCTTTTATCACTGTTCATCTTCAGCTCAGCAGCTTCAGCTAATTTGATGATTTTCTTTATTGGCAAAGTTTTTACGAATTTCTTACACTTTCATTTATTCTTATTGTGTTGTGTTTGGTTTAATTTTTATTTCTACGCTTTTTGTGCATTGATTGGCTTTTACAAAAGCCATCAAGCGATTTAATAACACATGATTGGGTAATATGAATGTCAGGTGTGCCTGGAATAGATGCTTTTATCGGCGTGTGTTTTTTATTGGTTGAGCGTAATTCAAGTGGACATCTAAATCGCCTACGCAGGCAGGTAGCCGCAATTACGCTGTGATTGTGTTTACGTAGGGACCGCTTTGGAGCATTTGGAAAGTTAAGTGAAGTGTGCTTAAATGTATAAAATACGATAAATATGTATGTATGTCTCAAATTTTTTATAACCAATTTTATATAATTTCCATCAATATATGAGTGTAGGTGACATGCATGTGTTTAGGGGCGTTACATTTTTAAAGAAAGAAAATTTAAATTAAAAAAGGAAATAAAAAAGGAAATAAAAATTAACTTAAAAAAAAGCTGCTGTCTGAGGATTCGAACCTAGGGTCTCTCAATTGGCACGCCAGTGTTTTGTTCACTCGGCCATTGCCACTGTTGGAGCGGCGCGATCGAAATGTTATACATACATACTTACTTACGTGTTTGTCTCCAATTTGAGTACTTTCGGTCAAAAGAGCTTTTCACCATGAAAGTTGCTAAGAGAGTTTTTTAGTAATACTTCGGTGTCAGAATAAATCAAACTCTTTCAAATTATCTTGTCTACAGAATTTAAATTGTCTGGCGAAAGACTTTCAACTACCTGAGCTGGAATTGCCTGTATATATTGCAAAATGGGTGTCAAACAAAATATGTTTGAGAAAGATTTGAAATTTAAATATTTTTATTTCAGCACTCAGCTATCTAAATAGTAAAAACTAAAAATTTTGAAATCATATGGAATGTTAAAAGGTCGGTACCAAATGAAAAGAGTCTGAAAAAGCTTTACTTGCAATCTTCTTGAAAGGTTGCCATCTTTCCAAAAGCTGGATATTAAAAATATTTTAATGGGGTGCCTGTCAGTTGTGATTGGCAATTATAACTTAAAGTGTACATAAAGATATCATTGCCTGCATGCATAATGCATATACATATACATACACATATGCATGCCCGTAGAGCCACCATACAAATACATATTTTCAGGTACAAAAGTTTGTATGATTCATGAAGCCTTCTTCTAGCACAACGTCAAATTTTATAAACAACAACCACGCCAGTCGCTCACAGCCAAATTTACAGTTGTTGCGTAAACTAATTTCACGTACCACTGGAATTGCCAGCACGGTTGCCACTTCAACAAAATTTTGTGTACCACAATATCCAAGTAAAAAGGGTTCGCTTTCAGCGCGTCGAATACCATAGAGATATAGAGGTTTGGTTCAATATGCAGAAACTTTTTTTTGTAAAGCTATGTTATTTATAAAACTATAGTTCATTCCACAATATAATATGTATTAAAAAAAATTATTCAGAATTTCTTTACAATTTTTGAGTTTGCAGTTTTGTAGCCCGTTCAAGTCAAGTAAAATAATATAAAAGTTTCAAATCGCTAAAAATTACCGTTGATTTTTTAGAATTTTTTTGTGGAGGGTGTTGCTCGTTTCCTTCCAAATATAAATATATTTTGATTATGCGTTATTGAAGGACTTGAAACTAGCACATTGTTTTATTAAAACTGAACGGGCTACAAAACTGCATACTCAAAAATTTTCTAGAAGTTCTGAATAAAAATGCTAATATTTTGATAAATGTTTTTTTTATTTTTATGGTCTTTATATAAAGTATGAAACTTTGATTTACATGGTTTATATCATAGAATGAACTATATTTTCATAAATGAAAAAAAATTATGAAAATAATTGTGAATATTATATTTTAACAAGGTGTACGCTAACATTTGGCACGGACTGTACATACATTTTACATATGTATTCACAGCGAAAATTTAGAGATCAGCAGCCGGAAAAGGTCAAAACATGTAAAAAAAAAACCCAAAGGCCAAAACGTAGAAAAAAGGTCCATATTTGGTACAATTATAGCAAAGTGGCAACCGTGATTGCCAGCATCTTCTCTCATGACCTCAGTAGCATTGGTTAGTCAAATAAGACTAGCAGTAAATAGATATGTAAATACCTGCATGGGTATGCTTGTTTGCTAATGCAATCAACCTTGTTCGAATATGTATGCGATTTCGCTTAGCCCGCCAGCGATTTCGGTTTTGCCAATTGCATTGATGAAATAACTTGAGTATGGTGTGCCAGCGTATTGTGTGCATTTTGGCAGCTTTTGCGGTAGACACTGTGTTGAATTACAGCCCGCAGAAAACATTTTGATTTGCAAATAGAAACAAATTCGCTGCATTAACAAGGCCGACCGTTGCACAGTGTTTCGACTAAATGGAGGCAGGTGGAAATAATAGCTAACCTGCACCGATTTCGCTCAAACTTGAAATGTGCTCTAATTTAACTTAAAAAAATGGAATTATGAAATTTGGTAAGGATGAGATAATTGCTACGCCTACCACTCTTGAGGGCGAAAATATTAAATTTCATCCGATTTCGATAAAAACACCTTTAAAGGTTTCAAGTACTCAGCGGGCGGTCCGAGGCGCAGCAGAAAATTCAATGGCACAGCTGTAGAATGCAGTCGATAATGTTTTTTCCAAAATTCTAGAGATCTGTTACCCCATACGTATTTTCAGTGGACATTCTTCTTCTTCTTATTTGGCGCTGTAACCGCCCAAACAATTTTGGCAGAGCTCAACAATGCACACCAGTCGTTTCTCTTCTGTGCCAACTGTCACCAATTGGAAATGGCAAGTGAAGCCAAGTATTTCTCCACTTGGCTTGTCCATCGCAGCGGGGGTCTTGCTCTTCCTACGCTACCACCAGCGGGTTCCAAATTGAATGCTTTCAGTTCATACGTCAATATTGTCTTTATCATCTGAGTAAACTTAGCCTTCGAACAGTACTACATTTTATTTTACTTTTTATGTTGAAAGCTAAAAAAACACCAAATATACTAATCTGATAAAATTTCCTCAAACAAATAAAAAATATTAAAAAAAAAAATCAAAACCTTCGCCGTTAATTTTCCTTCCAGTATATTGG